AGGTCATGATCCTGGAGTCCCGGGATCGAGTCCCGCATCGGGCTCCCTGCTCGGCAGGGAGTCTGCTTCTCCCTCTGACCCTCTTCCCTCTCGTGCTCTCTATCTCTCATTCTCTCTCTCTCAAATAAATAAATAAAATCTTGAAAAAAAAAATAATTAGCAAGTTTTTAGAGGAGGGAATATTTTTTTTAAAGATTTTTTAATTTATTTTTTTTAAAGAGAGAGAGACAGCGAGAGAGGGAATACAAGCAGGGGGAGTGGGAGAGGGAGAAGCAGGCAGAAGCAGGCCTCCCATGGAGCCGGGAGCCCGGTGAGGGGCTTGATGCGGGGCTCGATCCCAGGACCCTGGGATCATGAGCTGAGCTGAAGGCAGACGCTTAACGACTGAGCCACCCAGGCACCCCAGGAATGATATGTTTTAAAAGAATCCAAAAGAAGACAACAAATGGAGAAAAAGGAAGAAGAAACAAACAATAGAATAGATATAAATGCAAATATATTAGTAATTATGCTAAATATAAGTGGATTAATTCTATGATTAAAAGACTAAGATAGAATGGATCAAAATCTAACAACTATAACCTGCTAACCGAAGACACACCCTAAATATTAGGACATCAAAACACTGAAAGTAAAAATATGAATATAACTGGTATAGCTATACTAGTATCAGACCAAGTAGACTTTAAGGCAAGAAACAGTATGAGAGGTAAAGATGTCCACTTAATGATGTAAAGGGGTCATTCTACCATAAACCCAGCCATATCAATAATCATATTAAATGCAAGTGGTCTAACACCTCAACTGAAACTCTGATTGGATAAGAAAATAAGCCCAACTATATTCCATCACAAGAAACCCACTTAAAGACAAAGATAGTTTAAAAGAAGAAAGATGGAAATGAGAGACTATGCTACTATGATTTAAAAAAAACAAACAACTGAAGGGGCAGTATCAAAATCAGATAAAGTTGATTTCAGGGCAAAGAATATTACTGATGGTAAAAAGTTTTATTTCATAATGTTAAAGAGCTTAATTCATCAAGAGAATTTAACGATCTTAAACACTTACGCACACAATGGAGTTTTAAAATAAAAGAAGCAAAAGGAATAGAACTGCACAGAAAGATCCACAGTAACAGCCAGAGATTTCAACACCCATCTTTTAGTATTTGTTAGAAGTACAAAGAAAATCACTGAGGATAAAGATGACTTGAATAATACCATCAAACAACTTTTTTTTTTTTTTTACCATCAACCAATTTAATAAGTGCTATTTATGGAACAACCCACCCAACAACTGCCAAATATACTTTTTTTTCAAAAGTCCATGGAACTTTTATCAGCATAGATCACATTCTGAGCCATAAAACAAGTCTTAATTACATTTAAAAGGATTCAAGTCATACAAATAATGTTCTTTGACTACAATGGAATTAAATTAGAAATCTAACAAAGATATTTGAAAAGTTCCCAAATGTTTGGAAAACAGCATACTTCCAAATAACCCTTCTAAAAAAAAATGCTTTAAAACTCAATTGTACACTTAAAATGGGTGAATTGTATGACACGTATACTTCACAGAAGTTGTTTCTAAAAACACATAAGGACTGGAAAGGAAGAAATAAAATTTCATTTGTAGACAACCTAGTGGTATTCATAATAAGTTTTTAAGTGTATAGACTATATTAGAATTAATGAATGAGTTTAGCAAGGTCACTGGATATAAGGTGAAGATAGAAAAATAGACAATGAAATTAATAAAATAATATCTATGATAGCATCAAAAACATCAGATACCTAGAAATTAATAAAAATATGCAAGTCCTCTACACTGAAATCTATACAACATTACTGAAGGAAATTGTGAAAATGTAAATAAGTGGAGGGATATACTATGTGCATGTATTGGAATATTCAATATTATAGAGTTATCAGTTCTTCCCAGACTGGTACACAGTTTCAAACCAGTTCCAATCAAGCCCCAGCGTGTCTTTTTGTGGAAAATGATAAGCTGATTCTAAAATTTTTATGGAAATATAAAGTTCCTAGAATATCTAGGGCCTTCTTTTTTTTTAAAGATTTTATTTCTTTATTTATTCATTTGAGAGAGCGAGAATGAGAGAGAGAGAGAGAGAGCACATGAGAGGGGGGCGGGTCAGAGGGAGAAGCAGACTCCCTGCTAAAAGCAGAGAGTCTAGGGCCTTCTTGAAAAACAGCAAAACTGGAGGACTTACACTACCAGGGAACCAAACCATTGAAGGACTGATGTAATGTGAACAGTGTGGGGTTGGTGCAAGAATAGACAAGGGGTCAGCGGAACACAGGACAGAATCCAAAACGTGTATACAGTGTTAGGACAAAGGAATACCGCACGTCTATGGAGAAGGGACAGTCCTTCCCATCAGTGGTGCTGGGTCAACTTGGTAGGCACAGGAAGTGAATTCTCACCTCCATTCTTCGTAGATTATAACCAAAAATTAGTTTCAGCTGGATTATATACTAAATCTGGAACGTAAACCAATAAAGCTTAGAGGAAAACATAGGAGAATATCAACATAAATCCTAGAAAGAAATCTCAGTAGGCAAAGATTTCTTAAATACAGTACCAAAAAATGTCAGCTATAATGGAAAAACTTTTATTTGAACAACAAAAAACTGGGAGCCTTTGTTTAGCAGGAGACACCATTAACAACAGTGAGAAAATCCACGGAGTGGAAGATACAACACATATGACCAACAGAGGAGTTCTATTTAGATTATATAAAGACCTGCAAATCAGTAACAAGAAGTCAAACGAACCAATAGAAAAACAAACAAAAATTTCAACAGGCCCCTCACAGAACAAGATATCCTAAAGTTCGATACACATGAAAACGCGCTCAATCCCGTTATTCATCAGGGAAACAGAAATTAAGACTACAGTGAGATCAGGTGCACACACACCTGAATGGCTAAAATGAAAGGTAACATTTCGTTTTGGCAAAGATGTGGAGCAATGGGAATTCTCTTATATTGGTATGTGTCTGTTTTGGTCTGTATCCCCAGATCTGAAGGAGATTTTAAAACCAGTCACAGCAGTGGTCTGTGGGTTTAGAATCGTGGGAGGTCCTAACACCTTTTAATATGTCTACCCCTGTTGAATTGTATTTTTCAGGCTTTACTATTACAGTCAGAAATGAAAAGTTTCACATTTGGAAAAGAACAAGCCCCTCTCTCCCACCACACTCGACCACCACAACCAGTAGGTACTGGGATCTCCTGGTCTTCATCTCTCCTGAACTTTCTGCAGCACTGACCTTGACCACTCCTGTGTCAAAGCCCGGTCGGCTCTCACCACCCCCCCCCCCCCCCCCCCCCCCCCACCTCACCTGCCTATCCCATCGGCCCTTCCAGGGCCTCCATCTTAGTCGCTGCTCCATCTCTCCCTCCCTGTCTCTCCTCGCTCCCGTAGGAGCGCACCTGGGGTAGCTCTTCCCTGAGGACTCCTCGGTTCCTCTCTGGTCTCCTTTACACACAATTAGAGGGAGGAAGATTCCCCACCCCCTCCATTCCCCATCCTCGGAGCTTCACCAGCCTGCAGACAAAGTCTGGGTCTCCAGGTCCTGCAGATCCTGTCACCCAGCTGTCCACCCCTCCACCGAAGCCGCCCCAGCCTGGGTCACCTCCTGCCTCCTGGATGGCCCCCAGCCTCCCGCTGCTCCTGCTGACGCCTCTGTCCTGCTCCAGCCCATCCTCCCCCCAGGAACTCCACGGCTTCCACCAGACCCCCAGCGGCCCCCGGGTCAGCCCCCATCTGCGAGCTGTGTGACTGTGGACACCTTACGTGAGCCTCAGTGTCACTGTAAAGTGAGGGTTGTAGAACCCACCTCACAGAATCGTCATAAGGATTAAATGAGATAAAGTCTAGCACACAGTGACTGCTTGATCAGTGTCACGAATTTCTATTATTTCTGTTTAGCTCCATTGGACAGCATCACACAAGGGATCTGTCCCCCTTCCCCGAGTACCGGTGCCGACCCTCCCATCCCTCAACTGCCCTTCCCAAGACTCAGCCCCCTCAACCTCCCACCTTCTCGGTGCCCTGTTGTCCCTCAGGCCTGGGTTCCCCACAGGGGCTGGGAGTGAGGGGTCCACGGAGCTGTGCACCAGCCTCTCTCCGGTCCACACCCACTCCTTCTAGGTTCCTAAACCAGAGTCTGTCTGTTGGGCAGCCCTCCACCCTTATAAAAAGGAGAGAGAGGCCTAATTAGGCTCTGGGACAGGGAGAAGGGAGGACCTCACCAGAAACAGACAGCAGTAGCCAGACACACAGGACCCAGCCACGCCAGGACACCGGGACCCCGCTCGGAAGCTCTGGTTGGGTTGCCATCTCGTAACTGCCCCGGGACTGGAGGGAGCGTGCAGCGCTTCTCAAACTGAGCCCTCCCTGGGGCCCCAGAACCAGGGGCTTGGTGTCTGCTTCCTCCCTAGGTCTGGAGTGTGGGGGACAGACAGGCACAGTGCAATTGCGGGCCAACCCCAATATCCGGGTCTCTCGGAAAGCCCCTGTACGAGTGGGGGTGGGGCATCTGAGTGCTGGGTCGAAGCACAGACGACTGCTTGGTTTGCAAAAAACAGAAACCCAAGTGCAACCGGTTTAAGCAAAGGAGGTGGTTTATTGCCCCCCAAAAGAGTCCTGAAGAGGTCCCAGCTTCATGGATGGCTGGACAGGCCTGAACTATGATGTCAGAAACACATCCCTTTCCTTCTCTCCATCCTGCATCCATCTTTCGGTAGGCTCTCCACGTGTGGTGGAGAGATGCCCAGCAGCATCCAGGGCTCCCGTTGGCCAGCATAGCCAGCCACCCCAGGGAAAAGGGGAAGTCTCCTTCCTGTTACTTAGAGCACATGTCCAAGGCTGATGTTGGTTGACCTAGCCTGGCTCATGCATTTGCCCGAGCCAATCACTGAGATCAGTGAGCCGGCTGGGCCCCCTGGAAGCTGTGGTGGGAGCAGGGGGCAATTTCAGCTGACCTTTGAGGACTTCAAATCATAACATGGTGGTTCCCAGAGGAAAGCTGGATACAATTACCAGAGGGTCCTGGGCGGGCATCTACCTGTCCAAAGGGATAATGTAGCAGAAGAAGGGGGGACCCCTCCTGCCCAAGAGAGGCCCCTCTGCAAGCCCCTTCCTGCTTCTCAGTTCAGCAGCCATGTCCCGACACTCGTCCACAAAGCCTCCACCTCATTGTGTTGCTCTGTAAAGGGCGCCTCTGCTTCCTGACGTGTCCCAAGAAGTGGGGAGCAGCTTCTCCTGCGGCTCAGGGAGAAAAGCCCCGATGTCCTGCTCACCAGAGCCCTGAGACGCCCTTCCCTCCCAGAGACCAAGACCTCATGGCTCTCTGATCACAATCAAGATAATAATAACAATAAAGAGTTGGCCACTTCCTCATCTTCCCTTCTGGTTGGGTTGCTGGGTGGGTGGACTTAGTACCAGTGCTGTAAAGTACTTAGCACACAGCTGGTTGAAACACCTACTGAATGAGGTAGGTTGTATTTTCCAAGATGGCGGCCACAGTGTGTCTCACCCCACACACCCTTCCTTTTTCCACCATAGTATTCATTTTGGAAGTTGAAATATACTTGACACACATCAAGATATTGAACATATCCATCAACCTTAAAGGTTTCCTCATGCCCCTCTGCCATCCTTCCCTCCACCCCACCCCTGGCATCTCCAGGCAACCTTTGGTGTCCTTTCTGTCATCACAGGTTAGTTTGTATTTTCTAGGCTTTTATATAAATTGAATAATACCGTACCTGCACTGTTTTGTCTGGCTTCTTTCACTCAGCCTAATAACTTGGAGAGCTGTCCACGTTGTTGCATGTATCAACAGTTAATCTGTATTGATGAATTGTATTTCACTGTATACCATAAATTACTTATCTGTTCACCTGTTGAGGGACATTTGGGTTGTTTCTCATATTTGGCTAGTTCAAATAAAGCTGCTACGACCATACGCTTTCCTTTCCCTCGGGTGGTTACGTCGGAGTTGCATGGCGGGGTCATATGGTAAGTGGATGTTTCACTTCTGAAGAAACTGCCCAGCCCTTTTCCAAAATGGTTGTATGAGAGCATCCTTGACAACACTGGGTATATTCCCAGTCTTTTTCGTTTAGACATTCTAGGAGGGGTGTAGTGGTATTTCAGTGTGGTTTTAGTTTGCATCATCTAATACGAATGATCCGGCTGGCCCGCCACACTGGCGGGAAGCCCAGCAGAGGCAGGCAGAGCCCACGTGTAGGGGTTCAGCTGACGACCAGCCGCCGCCGCTGGACATGTAAGAAACTGTCACGTGATTCCATCCCCCAGCCTCCAGGCCACCCCCACAGATGCCACATGGAGCAGAAACAAGCTGACCCCACCAAGCCCGCCCCAAACGACAGATTCATGAGCAAAACAGATGATTGGTGTTTTAAATCCTTGTTGGGGCGGGGGGGTGTGCAGCGGTAGATAAACCAGAACAGTGAGTCGGCTAGCTGTGATGTTATTACCACTGACGTAATTCTGTTCATCCACCGGTGGTTTATATTCGTCTTCTCAACAAACCCGCAGCTCCTGCAAGACAGACATCAACTCTTCGTTTCTGGAATCCTAGCCCCAGAACCTGGCTCCTGACTTTCATTTCTTATCCCTTCAGGTCTTTGCCTTCAACCCTCGGACACTTCACCTTCTCTTAGCCACCTCTCGGGGGCGCGGGGTAGAGGTGTGGAAGAGCTTCGGCTCTCCTGCGGGGCTGCCTGGATTTGAATCCTGTCCCTGCGACTTCTTTTCTAAGCTGTAAGAAGTTAATCAAATTCTTTAACCTCTCTGAGCCTAATTTATCTCCCACAAAATGGGAACAGCAACACCTACCTCAGAGAGTAGTTAGTCTAAAATGATCCATGTAAAGAACTTAGCAGGCTTAGCCTGGTCCCTGCTAGTGTTGTTTTTACTAGTGTTGTCTGATGACTGTCTGGGTTTAAACACACCCTCCCTCGTTCCCTCCCAGGGAGCTTGTCTGCCCAGCTCCTAGCATAACGGCATCAGGTATATGGGTAGTAGGACTTAATATCGATTGTTCTAGGCGATTTACAAACATGAAATCCCTTGGGTTTTTTTAAAATCTGGATTCTCTCTTTATAGGTCCTGTATTGCCAGGCAAAATGTTCTGCCCCTCTGAACCTGCTTCCTGTCCCCCAAAAGGGGGGTAATGCTGTCTCCCAAACAGGTGTGAATGTAGGGATATGTTATAAGGCACCATCCTGACACAGGTCCCTGATAAATAGTAGCTATTAACACTAGTAACATTTATCCTGTGTTACGTCAGGTAACTAATTATTTTGGAAGGAAAACAAGGGTGGGGGCTGACTTGCTAATGTATATTTTTTGGAGCGTTTCAAGTTTTATATTATCTATATTGTTTTAAAAATTAAACCTAAATTTTAATAAATTTTAATAATGTTAATAAATTCAAATTGTTAATAAAAATTTAAATCTGATATCCTGGGTGCCACATAAATATTTTTATCCTGGTTTATAGGTGAAGATACTGAGTCACAAATACTTGCCCACGTTCAAGCAGCCAGCCAAAGCCAGAGCAGGATGAGAACCCATGTCTGCCTGATTCCAGAACTCGTGGCCGTTCCTTGCACTTACTGTCTCGTTTCTGGGTAAGTAGCACTTTGGTGGTCAGACAGCATAATGGATGAAAGTAGCTTCGTAGTGAGAAGCTGGCCCATGCCTGGTCCCCCTTAGGCTTCTGAAGATGGGGTATCTCCTCAGGCAATCTTCCAGCCAGGAGTCCTGGCCTCCTTGCTTTCCCACATTTGCCCTTGGATGTTTCAGAGGTGCCGACAACTACCCGCCACCCTCTCCTCCCAGGTCCCGTAACTCAGGGTCTCACATGGGCAGCAGTCCCATCTCCAGAACCCAAGTGGGGGCACCCATGGAGTTGGGGAGCTTTGGGAGGACTTTAGCACCCCGATAATCTCCATCCACTTCTTCCCCCCAAATAATGAAACAGCTTCACGACAAGTCCTCGAATCCCCACTTCCTGACGCTCTTCACTCATTTCTATCCCATCTGTGACCCGTGGCCGCTGGTCAGAGCTCAGTTTCCTGACGTGTCTTTGCTATAGCCTGCCTCCTATTGGCCCTACAGAAATGCAACCCGGGTATTCCAGAAACAACTACATTCTAAAAAAATTACATCACTGTGGGGCGGGGGTGGGCCTGCGTCATGGGGCCTGGTCCCATCATTTTGCACTTGAGGAACCTGGATGGGGACAGGCAAAGACGCACCTCTGGACAGCGGTGGCCCAGGCTCTCCCGACCCCCAATCACCCGCCAATGCCCTTCTCCCTGAAGGCCCCTCTCCCCTTGCAGGGAACCTGAAACCAAACAAAAACAATGACAAAAACAACACCCTGCCTCCAGGGCTTATGAATGTCCCTGCTAGAGAGGAGATGATACAGACTGAGGGAGATTCATGTCAAAAAATGAGGGAAGCAATGGTTATTCCATAACAAACAAAGTCCTCAAGCCTACAGATGAGACCAACAGTCAGACCTCCATGGGACTCGGGGAGTGGGTAAGTGAGTGTGTGGAGTGAGGGCAGGGAGAATATTATGGCCGAAATTTGAGTCTTTCTGAAAAGGTTAGGTCTAGCCACTTAGCTGTGCATGGAAAGAGACTCAGGAAACAATGAAAGAGTCACACTAACTGTGATGTAGGAGCTTCTCAGTGTGGGGCATCGGGTTGTCTGGTGAGAGCAGGTGTCCTCAAAGGGAAGACAAAACAGATTTTGCTCAATCCGCCCCCTCCCCCCCCATGGACATAACTGCCAAAGTGTCTCGGAGTGCTCCCGGGAACACCAGTGACACAGATACAATTACTTTTAAAGGGAAAAGAAGATTCGGAGACAGGACCAGTGTCAGGTATGAAACAGGAAACCCACAGCCCAGTAGAGCTGTTCTAGCTGATCCTTCCGCAGATAAAACTGAGTGGCTTAACACCCTGATGGGAGGCTGTCATTAGACCTTCAACCCAAACCCCACGGGGAAGAGGAAGAAGAGCAAGAATTTTCATTTTTTTAAGCAGAGAAACTTCAAAATAGTGCTGTAACAAAGAAAGCACACATACACTATGTCCCAAAACATTGTATAAAAAAAAAAACGGCATACATATGTTTTTCATTGTAAGTAAATTTACCCCCATCCCCCTCCAACAAACCAACTTTAAATAAACATTGAACTCTAGTTAATGATGTGAAAGCTGAACTGTTTTGGAGGGTGACCTGTCAAGCTTCCATAATGGAGGAGAAAGCTCCTCAGAAACAGATCTTCCAACGAATAACAATTATACACTTTGGACAAAATACAGAACACAGTGCCCTGAGAAATTTGAAGATTGAACAAAAGCAGGCAGTTTTTAGAGGGGAGTCAAAACTTGGAGCAGCAGCCTGAAGCACCTGATGCTAAAACTCCAGGACTAAAACCCACCAAGTTCTGGCGCCTCAGAAGACCCCTGGCTGCTAGAGTGAGGAGGACGCCTAATTCCAGTGAAAACTCACCCAAGTCTGGCTGACCCCAGAAATGTGCATGGGGGATGCAAATGATTCCAGACTTGTCAGCCCCCATCGTCCCTGGAGCCAAGACACAGGCACTCCCAAGTTTTAGTGAGATGGCGTGACATTGGAACCTACATGTATTGCTGGTGGCAAATTAAAAAAAAGAAAAAAGTACACTTTGGAAAAGAGTTTGGCAGTCTCTTAAAAAGTTAAATATGTACTTGCCATGAACCCCAGAAATTTTACTCCTAGTTCTCTGTTCAGGAGAGACAGATACAAGACAAAGTCCATACAAAGACTTGGTCACAAGGAAGTGCAGCACCATTCATAACAGCCCAAAGCTGGAAACAACCCACACAACCCTTGAAATGTTGAACAGATAAACTGTGTATGGCCATAAAATAGAATACCATTCAGCATTAAAAAGGACCAAACTTTTGTCCCTGAGCTTTATTGACATATCATTGACAGTCATGGAACAAACTTTTTTTTTTTTGGTTGTCAAATGATCCTTTATTGAAACATTTTCCTTTGTAGTTAACTAGCCGGGCATTCCAGCACACCACTGTTGATGTCATCTGTGATGTCATGAGGGTGGCGGCCATCTACATTGCAGCCCACAGACTGGGCAGTCCCGAGGATCTCTTTAATGGTTCCAGAGAGTTCTCTCTCTAAAGATCGGTGTGGCATCTGTCGGGCAATATTGACGATCTCATCAAAAGTGATATTTCCACTGTGCTTACTGTTTTTCTGCTTCTTTCTGTCTCTTGGTGGTTCCTTGAGGGCTTTGATAATCAGGGCAGAGACAGAAGGTACCACTTCAATCTGGGCCTGTCTGTTCTGAATGGTCAGTTTCACCGTAATCCTTAGACCCTTCCAATCACCAGTTGCCTTGGCGATGTCATCACCAACCTTTTTTGGAGACAGACCCAGCGGGCCTATCTTCGGGGCCAGGGCAGACGTGGCACCGACTTCGCCACCGGTGCACCTCAGGTACACGACTTTGATCTCGTTGGGGTCGAACTTAGGCGGCATGGCGGAGGTGGCTGGTGTTGGATGAACCCGGATTCGGGACAACCGAAGAAAGTTGCACCTTTGCCTCCCCAAGCCGAAAGCCAAAAGATGGAACACACTTTTGATTCATGCTACAATATGGATGAACTTCAAATGCATGCAGCAAAGAGAGGGAAGTCACACAAAACGCCGTATGTTGTATGATTTCCTTGATAGGAAATGTCTACCAAAGCAAATCTCTAGAGGCAGAAGGCAGACCAATCAGTGTCTGGGGATGGGAGTGGGGCCTGACTAACTATAAAAATTCATGACAGAACGTTTTGGATGATAAAAACGTTCTGAACCTGGATTGTGGTGATAGTTGCCCAGATGTATAAATTGATTGGAAATTATCCCAGGGTACATATACGATGGATGAAATTCCTGGCATGTAAAATATATCCCCATAAAGCTAAAATGAACAAACGGAGGAAACACCAACTCGTTTTATGAGTCCAGCATTACACGGACACCAAAACCAGACAGAGAGATCACAAGAAAAATATTTAGGGTGAAGAGTCCCTATGTCTACCATTTACTTTGAAATGTACTGAAACCAAGACAGATTATTGAATGGATGAAGGGATGACCAGATGAATAAAGATGTGACAAAGGATGTTTAGTACAATGGTAGGATCTAGCATTAGGTATTTGGGTGTTCACTGTAAAATTCTTTCAACTTTGCGGTACCTTTGAAATCTTGAATGATAAAACGGAGGAGAATGAAATCATAGCACAGGACACGGCTCAGCTGCGATTATTTTTTATGAAGTCAAACAATGTAAATAATATTGAGTTCTTCCAAAAGGGAAAAGAAAAAGTTTAAAAACTAGGTGTCACGGTGCCTAGGTGGATCGTCTGTTGGGCATCTGACTCTCCATTTCAGATCAGGTCACGGTCTCGGGGTCATGAGAGCAAGCCCTGCGTGAGGCTCCACATTCAGCGGGGAGTCAGCTTGAGATTCTCTTTCCCTCTCTCTCTGCCCTTCCCGTTCATGCTCTCTCTCTCTCTCTCTCTAAAATAAGAAAGAAAGAAAGAAATCTTAAAAAAATAAAAAAAGGTGGCTCACTGAGCTCATACAATTTTGCTGA